CAAAGAACCATTCTTCCTTTTACACCAGATGCTAATAAGTCTTCTCTAAAAAAAAAAAAACACACTTACTCACTTTAATAAGCTGCCAGTTGCATTTTCACTGTCCCCTCTGAAAGCTCCCAGCGATGCTGGGAGTCCAGTCTTTTATTTGCTGCTTTATTATTAACTTTTCTTTACTACTCTGGGTTTCTGAACTATTTCAAAAATGATTCAGCAGAAACCACACAGAAACGAAGGCGCCATTTCTGGCTCAGTGAAGAACCACGCAGGAAGGTCCACACCACCACATTAATAAATCAGGAAGAGTGGTACCAATCGGATGTTCATTACACCCCAAAACCTCTGTGAAGGCCAGGTTCGGGATCAAACGCCGGACCCCCTTTGTCATTAGCACAGGGGTGAAATGGTGATGTTCACCAGCCACACTACAGCATCTGGACAGACATTATCTACCCTGCAAGGTAAACAGGGGGAGGGTGCCTGTCCACTTCATCCCTGAGAAAAATGAGGCAATAACACAGTGACTTCCTTAAAGGGAAAAGGTCAAGCAGCTTGCAAAGGGTGAGGACATCCCCTCTTTCCCCCGAGGCAGTGGTTCTCCATCCTGTTTGCACATTAGAATCCCCTGGGGAGTACTGGAAAAAAATAATCAGACAAAAAGCCCCACCAAGGCCAGGTCAGCAAACCAGAGCAAAGTGCCATCCCAGACCAAGCCTAGAAGTGGTGCCCGGGCGTGTGTGAATAGCTCTCCGGGTGGTTCAAAGGCACAGGGTTGAGAACCCCAGGCCTCTACCTCTAGATGCTTTAAAGGCCACAGTAAATGACAGTTGTAACAAGGAAACACAGCTGTGTAGCTGAACCAAGTATGTTCTCAGATAGGGGAAAAAAAAAAAAAACAGGGAGGGAGAAAAAGTCCAATAAGAAATACGATTTAATAAAATTCCAAAGGAAAATGCGTTCATAAGAGCTAAAGAGCCAAGCTCAACAGGTAGGTATTTACACGCCACATTTTTTCTGGTTTTATGTCCCCCACGCCCACGCCCACCCCCACCCCCCAGAAGAGCAAATTTCCAAACAAATAACTATACACAGGCATGTGCGTCCCAAATGTCAGGAGTGAAACGCTAAGGAAATTCTTTCCAACATCTGAGAGTAATTTTGTACAATACCTCATTGCTCCTATGTGCTCACCTTAAAGAAGCAAGAGCAGAGTAAAATAACTAAACATCCAAATGCAGTAATAGTTTTTCTCTCCTATTAAGCACGCTCTGAAACCCACTAATTATTTCCAGAGGGAACTTCTCTCGTAACATGGTACTCCGGAGGACAATTTGGTTCTCAGGCAACCAGGACTCCATGTACTGGCGGTAACACTAAGGGGAAAGTCTGTGACTCAAAGAACCCTCCAGAAATGAGAGATTCCCAGCACAAGAAATAATTAATATTTAGTGGGGATTTCATAGTTCAGTCTTGCTCTTCCCCACTACCTTCCCAAAAACAAGAAAAAAATCGTAAGAACACTCAATGTCCCCCCAAAGACTGCAGACACGAGCTCTTAACACTTCTAGGATCTTCAATATAGACGCGCGCGCGCACACACACACACACGCATACACACACCTATGAATGCACCTAACACATTAGGTTTGTTAAAAACACCACCAGGTACACAATAACCTCAAAATGAAACTACAAGGGAAGAAATTTCTTTCAGCTCAATCTACAGGACATGAGTCCCAGGCAACTGACAGTTTCCTGCCTGTGTCCTAAGTGCTCAGTTTGCCTTTTGTTAATGAAACCCCCATTCTAGAAAACTAATGTGGCTTCCTTTCCCCTCTCCTTCTTCCCAAACCCACTCTCTTTTAACTCTGCCCAATAACCGGCTCCAAATGCGTTTGTTCTGTTTCTCTCTTTGTTTTTCCCCAAAGGGAAAAATTAATGGTCGAGTGGGTTTAATTTTTAAATTGGTCCAAGAGGTTTAAAGAGGCTGTACTGAAAAAAAAAAATAAATAAATAAAAAAAAAAAAAAAAAAAAAAAAAAAAAAAAAAAAAAAAAAAAAAGGGGCGCCTGGCTGGCGCAGTCGGTTAAGCGTCCGACTTCAGCCAGGTCACGATCTCGCGGTCCGTGGGTTCGAGCCCCGCGTCGGGCTCTGGGCTGATGGCTCAGAGCCTGGAGCCTGTTTCCGATTCTGTGTCTCCCTCTCTCTCTGCCCCTCCCCCGTTCATGCTCTGTCTCTCTCTGTCCCAAAAATAAATAAACGTTGAAAAAATAATAATAATAATAAAGAGGCTGTACTGAGAAGAAGGAAAAAAAAAAAAGGCAAATGGAACTCTCTTGAAAATGGTTACACATTAAACACATATCTTACCGTCCAGGCTAAGGAGGGGTTTTTTTTGTTTGTTTGTTTTGTTTTTTAAATAAGGAGAGTTCTTAAATTCTGTTGAAGATCTGAAGTTTAGTTTATTCAGCAAGAATAACTCTGTTCACTGCTCCAGCTCCTTCTTGTCACCACCATCAACATCCACACATTCCAAACCCTGGAAAATGTGAGGGAGTAACAAGAAGGCTGGGGCTGCAGAAGGTTCCATTCCCATGTCCAAAAAGCACCTAAAGCTGCCAGCGTGCCCCATGGGGACGGAAGACAACCTTGGGGACGGATGGGTCACAGCACACAGAAGCAGGTGCACAGACTCAGGAGACGGATTTCTCAGAGAACAGAGCACAACTGGGGAGGCTGTACCTGCATCACCACCAAATAAAACTAATCAAAAAGAATAATCGTAATAATGAAACACCACAAAGCTCTTTGACCGTTTGCCCAGAGTTACGACAGGTTTTGAATACAATTGGCTTTTTTCTCAGTAATCTCATCTCTTCTTAGAAGCTAAGGTTCAAGTCAAAACCAAGCAGACTTCCAAGCCACGGGAAAAATAACCCGAGACTTATAGGCATGCCAGAAAGTTTGTGGCTAATCTTACAACATGCACCGCCCAGTGAGGTCACACTGCAGGAAGTCGGTCCTGTCGCACACAGGAATAAATAAAATAATGACAAGCAATAAGCCAACAGGCGCTAAGTCGTAGCTGAGAAATAAATGGGAGGTGGCACCTCACCCAAATGAGCGAGCGATTCAAGTCCAAGAAAAATCTTTCTTTCAAGTTTATGGAAATTAACCCTTAGCCTTTCCAAATCCTTTTCTGTTCCTGAATCCTCGGTACCCGGACTCATAATTTAACTACAACATTAGATTCGTGTGTTGCTTCCTTCTCTGTACTTTTCTCACCAACATACCAGTCAGATGCCCTTAGCCACCACTTTTCTAAGGAAAACCCGAGAAGACAGAGGGTGTGCAATGCAAAGAGAGGCAAGAGAAGAGGAGTTGCTCCCCACACAGAAGCCCTTGCCCAGAGAGGGTGTTTCAACAGGTAAGCAAGAGAGGAAAATTTTAATTCCAGCTCCTCCTAATCTGGTTACAGGGGGCCAAGGCTTCCCCGCTAAAAGTACAAAGAGGATGGGGCCCCAAAACACCAAGCGTTTCTAAAGCTAAAAGTAAATTTTAACTAGCACTTTCGGTTGAAACAAAGAGAGAGAGCCCTTCGTATCTGCTGCTTTCATTCACCTTCTCTGGTTCCTTCTTAAATAATTATTTTTCCCTACTGATGCTGTCTACGAAATTTTGTACCCGGTTAAAAAATGTATCTTTCAGGACCTCGAAGATTTTTCTACAATTTTTGCTTTTCTTTCTTGAAACGGTGCGCGCTCTTTTCCGCCTTCTGACAATTACACTCACACCTGACACCGGATATTCATTCTTCGTTGTTGTTCTCTGCTTTCGTTCCCTCGTGTGGTCCTATTCTCAATTCTTTTCTCTCAACTACTTCCTCCCCAGCAATGATCTCCAATTATTCCCCCTTCCCATCCAGGCAGTCTCCTTGGCATATAGTTTTCCTTTGTCCCCTGGGAGTTTGAGCCCTCAATTTTTTTCCCCCTTGATACAGAGGGCCCTGGACAGTGACTCTGGGTCTCAGACCTTTCTGGTTACCCGCGTCTTTGCCCTTACTCCTTGTCCCACCTGTCCATGATACTGACACCGATCATCTCCCTTCTCCTTGACCAATCTAGCTTTGAGGCAAAGAAAAGGTTTCCCCTGTGTTCTTCACTCTCCTTTGTTCACCTGGGGCACATACCTTCCTCACCTTTTCTACTCTCATTCCCCAATGGAGCAACGCGGCTCTCTCCTTGGTATTTAGTTTTTAATGACCTGTTGGCCTCTACTATCAATGACACGGGCCATCTGAAACACACCGTACCTGATGATCGTGTGCTATGAGATGTGGCCAACCAGAGTCTGGGTCCACGGTAGGTATGGTATATGCCACATTTATGTTTCTAACAGCAATGACAGACTAATCCTAATCCATTTCTCTTGTGACTATTGGATTATACTTGCCAGATGGCCTGCTGAGCTTAGGGGCAGGGAAGGTGCTATGTCCCCAGTCAAAGAAGAGAAATGACTGGTTCAACTCGGGCTGAAGCCTCTGACCTTGGGTTCGTTAGCCCAGAGCACCAAGCAGCCACAGCCATGTCATGGCCATGGCCCTTGGCTAAACGCAAGAACCCAAATCAGCAGGTCAATTTAAACCTCAACAACTCAAGAACAACCACATCAAGACCGAGAAGAAAGTGAACTTGAGATCAATCCGTCTTCCCCGTTCCCATGATCCCCCTCAGGGCAAAGGGTAACCCTCACCCCTGCTTCCCTGTCTTTCCGTACTGGCACTTGAAACGCAGGCCACTTTTAGGGCCACCTCATCCATCCTGAACGTCAAAGCCGCCGTGAACAGGAAAGAGAAACACGGTTCTGATTTCAACAAAAATCCACAGACGGTATCAAAACCACTTTTCTCTCCTCTCCGATCACCGCCAAACCAAGTCCCCTTACCGGTGGACGTAACGAAATACATCAGGGGGGAAATAGATAAAAGTAAAGTGTATTTACCTTCTTCTGTTTCATGCCACACGATCCCTTCCAAATTCACACTGGTCCCAGGTTCACAGGGCCCAAGACACTCTGGCTCTGTCACTACTCCAACTTCACATGTATTGACACCCACGGAACGAGTCCGAACCAAAAGCTGTTCAACCGGTGCTGCAATATTGGATGAAGATGGGGAAAAGTAGGAGGGCAGAATCTGAGGCGTGAGGCTGCTGGAAATCGGCGGTGGTGGTGCTGGCACTGTAAACAGGGGGTCAACCTGAAAGACAGACAGGCTTACTGCAGGGTGCTGCATTCTCCGAGCTCCTTATAATGCAATCTGTTTATATCACTTCTAGAACACATCACCATTCCAAATTCCATTTGCAAGCAGAACAGACTTCAGGGGTTTTCGTGGGGCCACCACGTAAAGGAGGAGAGAAATGAGCGTTTGAGGTGTTTCACGCCCGACAGGGCCAACCCTGGGGATCCTGCTTCCGGAATAGACAGGCAGGACTCCCAACGTCCTAAATTCACCGATGGAGAACCGTCAGCCTCAGTCGATGTGCGTGAACTCTGCTCTGCAAAATTAGGACTCTTGCCCCCTTGTGATGAAATCTTACGTTCAAAACTACAGTATTTTCCAAAGGAGAAGCTCCAATAAACGCCACAGAGGCATCACTGGGCACTTCAGCATGGGAGATGGGCTAAAATCGTCTTCAAAGTACTTTATAAACCGTAATGAATTAAATCACTACGAAAATACATTAACTGACTCTGCTGAATATGTAAAATACATAAACTTGATTAAACACACTCAAACACATAAACTGGATATTATTAGCATGTATTAAGCATCGACTCCTAATTAAGTATTCTACTGCAAAGTTTAGCAGAATTCACATACGTGGGGAAATAAAGGCCTGTGCCCAACGTCAGCAGAACCGGGAGTTTCTCCAATGCCACATGTCCTTTAGTGGTTCGACTTGGAAAGGTCCCTGATGAGTCTGACCAAGTCCCGGGATTCCACCCTCAAAATCCCAGGAAATAGACATGACAGCCAATATAAGAGCATACGGTGCAATGCCATGTCCTTTGCACCCCTATCCTAGAGAGCAGGAAAGGAGATCTTGAACCATACAATATTCAGGAGCCTGGCCGTGATGAAAACCAAAGGCTATGCATGTACTAAGTAGGCACATCTCCAACCAACCCACTCTCTCATCAGACCCATTTCGATTACAGTTATGACCGGGACAGAACAGTTTTAGCCCTGCTGACGGGTGGTCAGATGTAGAAGAGCCCAATGCAAAGCCCTTCTACACCACGACTCCAGATCGCTTGCCTGGGTCCTCAAGTTACACACAGGTATCACCTACCTATAAGGGAGGCCATCTTGCGTGCTTTATCAGCTGAGCTAACAAATCTTATGTGTGCAAATGACACACAGAAACTATTTCTGGTAAAAGGCCATCCTGGTCTGTAGTTCCTATATGCCCAATTAACCTTTGTAAGAAACCAACGCTTGGCTATTAGACGTGCTATTACATAGTCTTTGTTGTTTAAAACACACACACACACGTACACACACAGAGTGCGTTTCAAGACAAGTTATAGGAGGAGGCGTGCTCCTGGTTGAACAGCTGAAGCAGTCATGTGTGTGGGCTCCTTGTTCATATGACTGTAGGAACTATTCCTACAGTTTGCCTTTCGCTAAAATGATCAAGTGACGTTCACTTGCCTGAATGATCCAAGATGCAATAGAACAGCGCTTCGCCCATCTGCATGCGAAAGAAACTTAATTTCCTGCTCTCCAAGCTGCCATAAAACTTCTTTTGCTCCACGCTTTTTATTGTTCTGCATTCTTGATCACAGAGCCCAAGAAAGAAAAGCATTTAACGGTCCCAAACCCCAGATCTTGTGATTTATGCTTCCGCGTAAATGCAGCTTAATGTGGATCAAAGTTCACACTGATAGTTCCTATTTTAACACTGAGCTGACAAATGAAGAAAGGGGTTCCAAGGGAGGAAATGCGGGGGTGGGGGGGCATGCAAAAAATCCATTGCTACCTTGTCGTCTGTATTAAACTAAAACATTTAGAACCACTTTCCAGAATTTAAAAAGAAAAAAAAAAAAAAGGCCAAGAAAAATTATAAACCGGCTACTGGGTTGTTTTTTTTTTTTTTGCATGTTTGCCAACAAATTCTTAATTTGTACAGTTAGTTGTAAAATGGGTTTAATGACTGCTACACACAGAAACTGAAAAGACAAAACAGAACGATACTCTCAAAATACTCTTTAGATCACGTGATTGACAGCCTACGTTAATTCCAAGAAAATACAGTTTCAATCGGAGAAACAAGAAAATAGGATGAAATGAAAGGAGGGAAGGCAGCTAAGAGAGCATGAATTCCCTTTGGGAGATCAGGATACAATGAGGCAAAGCCTGCAATACAAAGTTTTAAGGACAGGGCATGTTGGATGCTAGTATTTTGGCTCTAACTCTGACGATAATTAGCATGTGACTTTGGAGAGTCACTTAACCTCACTAAGGACCATTTTCCTCACAACTGGAAAATGCATCCTCCAGCCGCCTACTGATAACAAATCCTATTACAATAGAATTCCTGGGCTAAATCCCCATTTCAGTATAACTCCAACTACGAATATATCTGCACACAGATACACACACACATGAACCTACTCCTTGGGATATGTAAGTGACTCCAAAGATCAAATTTCTAAAGAATCTAGAAGACTTGAGGGGAGAGGCAATGGTATCCTGGGCCTACGAGCAACTTAACGGTGTTTATTTCCATTCACACAATCCAAGGGCAGTGAACAAAGCTTAGTTGATAGCATTTATCGAGCAGACCTCGGAACCCCGTCCCCAAGGCTTCCAGTGAGAAGCTAAGGTTCGGAGAGTCTGACTATAAACATGAACTTAATCATCAACAGTCCCCCAATACAAGACCACACCCCAGTGGTCTAATGGCTTCCATTAGAAGCCCCTCTTCCCCAGAGGTCACCAACCACAGAGGAGGGTAAGGAATCACAGCCACTCCCAGAGGTGTTTTACACTGGGAGGTATGCTACTTTTTCAAACATCACAAATTTTCACAAACACAAAAACTTAGGGACAAGTATGAATGTCTACTATCTCTTAAAATAATAACGAGATAACGTACGGGGCTCGGCCAGCGATTCCTCGCGGCATCAACTGACAGGGCTTAGGCCTTGCAGTGACCAGCTGAGTTTGCCTTTGCAGCCCTCCCCTGAGACAATCACAGAATGTCTGCCCCTAGAAGACCACGTAGCCAGCCTCCTCATTCTAGAGAGAAACTTGGCCTATATTTGCACAAAGGCAATAAGTAAGGTACCTCTGGGGGCAGCCCAAGTGAAAATAAAACAGCATCCTATAAGCAGTAGGAGCTCAAGTACACACACGAGGAGCCAAGAGAGAGGTGGAAGGGAAATAACTCAGTGTCTGAGGGCACCTGGGTGGCTCAGTCGGTTAAGCATCCAACTTTGGCTCATGTCACGATCTCGGGGTTCCTGGGTTCAAACCCCGCGTCAGGCTCTGTGCTGACAGCTCAGAGCCTGGAGCCTGCTTCGGATTCCGTGTCTCCCTCTCTCTCTCTGCCCCTCCCCGCTTATGCTCTCTCTCTCTCTCTCACCGTCTCTCAAAAATAAATAAATATTTTAAAAATAATAATAAAATAAAATAAATAATACAGTGTACAGAGTCGCTAATTCTTTCCGCCAGCGAATGCCCCCAGTAAGAGATGCCCCCTACAAAAGGTTTCAGTTCTCTTGTGAGTCTTACAGTATCTAAAACAAAGCCACATGCACCATGTGTAAAGCAGGATCTGGAAGGATTTTCAGTAGTGTTTTTACCTCCTACCAAAGATCAACTCCACTGCGCTGATTTCCAGCTCACTGATCCATAGACGGAACCGTACCTTCTTCAACCAATGAGGCTCGTGAAGACAGAGAGAAGCAATGGTCCCTAGGAGAAGCCCCTCCAAGAGGCATACACTTGGACGTGGTAGTGGCGGCCCTCAGGTTGCGATAGGTTCAAATCCCTACCTCCCTGTTACTCGCTGTGGGGGACCCCTGAGCAAATAACCTGGCTACTCAGAGGCTCAACGTCTGCATCTCAGAAATCGGAGTAAGAATAACAGTTACGCCCACAGGGTCACAGTGAAGACTCAGTGAGATGACTCACATAAAGTGAAGGCTCAGCAAAGTGCTTAGCTCAGTAAATGCTGGCTTGGAAAAAGAGAAAGAAAAAAAAAAAAAAAGTCCCTGGTCTGATATTACAGTTCTCTAACCCTGCATGCAACCTTACAAAGCTCCTTTTTATATCCTACTATATTTAACATAAATCTATAATCCCCTCCAAATGCATGGTTAAGTGCGGTTACAGTGTGTTAAAAGTATAAGAAAAAGGGCTTAACCCTGAGAAGCTCAGCCTGGGGGAAAATACTGCTTCTTTCATACGGTGGCATCTGGCAGCAGTCGGCCCAGCCTAATCGCCCCCCAATTTTACAGATCTTGATGAGCCCTAGACCTCTACAAAATCTCCTACTAATCTCTAGCCACACCTCTTGTTCATGTGCTGCCGCTCCCCCAAAAGTCGTCCCTGAGTCATCACAACTTGATCACATAGCCCCCCAATAAATAACGCCTACACACCCGCTACATGCCAGGCACCCCGCGCAGGCTGCTAGCAGGACGAGAGCAGGTGCAACCCGAATGGGTCCGTGCTGTCCTGGGCTTACTGCCTAATCAGCAGGACTGTGCCACTCATCATCAAATACTCACGCAAGTACAGCAAAATTCCACCTGTAATTGCAGAACCACAATCAAGGGGCCGTCCATAGGACCTGAGCGCAAAACATAGCATGTAGTGAAAGGCAAGGCGGTGCAGGGATCAGTCTTCAGAGCTCGAATCCCACCTCCTTCCGTTACATAACCTTTAGGCAAAGTCACCTGATCTCTCTGGGACTCAATGGCTTCATCTGTAAAATGGAAATAACCCGTGCCTAAAGGGACTACTACATGAGCCCCAACAACCCTAGTCCAGGTCTGGGTATGGAGCAGCGCTCAATAAATAAGAGCTGTTGCCACGGCCAATATTATCATCATTATTGCAAATATAATTGAGATCTGAACTAAAAAAGAAATCAATGTAGGATTTGCTACATTCAAAGACAACTCACCGGAGGCAATTATGAATACCCTTTGCAGGGGGAAGGTACTCTACAATAGTACTAA